ATAACTGTTGTCGCATCTTCTCTAAACGTCAGATATAGAACCCAGCTCGCTGCAAATGTCTTACGACAGGGCGAGAAGGTTGTTTGGGTAGGTTCGTGTTGCTTTATCCATATTCGTTCAGCCCTCTATTATACATTAATTGTCGTTTAATATGGGTTATGTTTTCCGGAGTCGTTAATTCATCTCACAGATGGATTTCATCCGGTATCCTCCCGTAGACTTCATGATATGATCACTTCTGTTTCGACATCATTAACAGCAGATCAATTGGATAATTTTGTTCATTTCCAAGTACCGACTCTGGCACATCTTATCGGCCTACTATGCAAACCTACAGCAAATGCGATTCCTAACAACACGTCCCTCGTCGTAATCGATACCCTGTCAAGCCTGGTGAACTACGCGTTCCCTAAAAACTCCGAGATCCGACAGGCTCAAAAAGGTAATGCTACGCAGAAATATCATAACCTTATCTCGGGTTGCTTGCTCACATAATGCACAGGACCAGGACCTTCGGCCAGAAGGTTGCAGCTCCTTCAGTTCTTGATTTCGACACTTCAGAAACTTTCCGCCACGAGGGATATTTGCATCGTAATTTTGTCCCAGTGCGCTACTCGAATGCAATTTGAGCGCGGCGCTACTCTCATCCCCGCTATTAATGCTGGTACTTGGGAGCAGGGAATTGCTACTCGGCTAGTTCTATTTAGGGATTGGATAATGGAGAATAACGCGGTCCATGACGTCCACTTTGTTGGTATTCAGAAATTGAATGGCAAGACGACCCCGGGGGGCCTCAGTCAGGTTTTTGGCTTTCGTGTCCAGAGCGTAAGTCAACTCATGCCCCACAACTAGCTTGAAATATTGACCCGCCTAGGACGGGCTTGTTGGTATCGGCCTGGATGAGAGCCAGGCATCCTTGCCTCTGTCCCCAACTTCGCGACATAAGCGAAAATTAGGTCAAACCGATTTCGAGGTTGCAGATAGTGAAGGCGAAGATTATGGCTGGGAAGACGACGATGAATTAGAAATGCCAAGCATGCCCCCTCAATGGCAGGGAAGTGAGGACATTCTTCTTGGACAGGCAGAAGACGATGATGGCCAGACTGAAGACGGATCAGAACACCAACCCGGAGATTTAGAAGAGACTACGCTCCATTTGGGTTCGGATCTTGCCGGGGATGAGGGGAACGGCTCCAGCTAATATCCATATTTATGGGCCCTTAATGGCCTGGGTCTGGTCTGTTATGAATGTGAAGTATAAGTGTGAGCCAGTCACGTTCACGATACAGTCGATAAATCCCTCTAAAAACACCATGGGTAACATCAGCGTACCCCCTTTGCGAACTCCACTGCGGCTCAACATCAGTAAAGAACTCACCATGAAACGTCGGCCAAATGTCGGCTCCTTAATGCTCTAGCCTCGACAGTCGGCCACCGCCACTCCACACCTCGGTCTTTCACGGCCCAATTCCATCCTGTCGGCCATTCTCATTGATTTCGGAGCTGCCGGACTACCCTTATCGGAAAGAAGTAGAAAAATTGTACAAACTGACGCCATGGTACCTAAATCTTTTCACATGCTAACGTTACCTTCTCGTGGTGGGACGTGGAACTGGCCAAATGGTACATACTTACGAGTTACATGATATCCGACACCAATGGAGAAATTTTTATTGATAGGAACACGCCTGTCAGTGTCAGTATCGTGTCGAACTACTTCAACACCATATAATATCCAGCTAACCATATTTACCATATTTATTCGATTCATTATTCTGGCATGAATGGCGTCAGAGATGAAACGATCATGGAGCCATGTCCATTACAACGAAGTGTGGGCGGCGTTCCAATTCATCAGGGTCCTGCTGTAGCTGATTTTTTAGCCGGTCGCGGCACTAGGTTGCAGTAGAGAAGGCCAAAGACCGTTACATTGCACTATCGCAACACGATCCAGTGGTCCTACCAACGGGGGTCCCATAGAATGACCGCCGTGATCCGCTATGAACAGAAGTGTTGATAATTTGGGACGTGTTTCTGGCCCCCAAGCTTGCTTTTCCAGTTGTTATATTAAACGCTACCGCATACAATCTGTCTCAATATCACTCCCAGATTCCTGGCTTTATACCCGTGAGAAGGTAAGCATGTAACTGTAACCCGCCCGATCGATGGTTCCATTGACCTAAGAGATAGTCGTGCGAATAAGTATTCAGCCGCAAATGTCTATTGCTGACATGCATCCGCGAAGGCAGCTAGCGAGTACGACAAAGCTGTGTCTTGATAGATGAGCAAGTTCCTGCAGGGCATAAGCTAACCGAAGCGGTTCATTTCACACCATTGAATTTCGCGAAATATACTTAACAAGCGATTATATTAGAGTAGTAAGGTATAACTATATTCCCTGCTATACGGATCGACTCTACCGAACGCTTGCGACCTAGTATTCTTACTTTCGGCAAGGCTTATAGACTGTTCGAGGGGCCTTGGCGAGATTATCAGATTTCAGATGTTGGGGTCGAGTGCGGAGAAAGGACCACTGGATATGCATGCCGCGGTGCTCTTCATCAGCGAACCTGGTTCCATGAGAATAACTTGCAGCGGGAATGCAACCGGGTATGCACCGCCTGCAGCCGGCCTGACTTTAGACTCACCGGTGTGAGAGTTCGGGAGGACCTTCCACAATATCTCGGAATGTTGTGCCGTTACTCCTAGGACTCTAGTCTGTCTGCTGCGCTATAGTAAGAGGCAATCATCACGATGAGAGTTGTAGGGGTCTAACCTGTTACCGTATCCATACCCGCCCATAATCAGCACGCAAAACTCAACTCTGGTTAGAAACTTTGTCTGCCTGAGATGCCGTAAATATGATGACCGGTATGATATAGCCTCATTTACGAGAAGTTCATAGGTAAGAAATTAATCATTGCTGAGTATAAGCCAGCATATGAAGATTACGTTGGAGCGAACCCTCCTTGCAGGAGATGAGCAAGGAGTCTCGATGTACATATCTTGATGGTTTGATTCGATTGTGATACGATTCGGGGCATCATCGCGTCCTCTTTATTTACGCGGTGTAGTAAGCTTCCGAGATGAGTAGGTGTAGGCAGCTTCATCAAAGCTCATTTAAGAGAGTTATCTTCCAGGTACATACATAATATGTAAGGTCCGGCAAATATGCGACCTGTAAGCGCCTGAATGAGAACGACTGTATACTGTGCAACTACCGCTACGGTGGTTACATTCGCTCCAACGGACGGGATGCAACCGACCCACAGCGTCCTGCTTCTTTTAACTTGACATGCTTCGCAAACATATAAAGAACAAAATGATAGCTCACTCGTATGGCCACACCAACATCTGATCCAGTTCGGTAGCTCTTGTTCCACAGCAACCCGATAAATGCAATCGCATGATCTGAGCCAATCCCGGAGAGTGAATAACAAGGGGATACGCAAGGGACAGAACCTCTTGGGTTTGTTTACCTATCGAGGCGAATGAGATTAGGCAGGTCTTCACATGGGAACCTTATGAAGAGCGACTGGACAGCATGTTGTCACGGATCAAAACGCGGACGCTCGTTGGTCAATGGATAACCGATAGTCCGCGAACTTCATAGAGATTGGAGTGGGAACCCATGGGTGAACGGATGCACCCTCCAGCTGTGTTTTCCTGTCAAGCCTCGCGAACACCCGATATGATTCACGATTCCCTGATGCTTTTGGGAAGGGTTGAAAAGAGAGGATGATATCACTATGTATGAGTGTATGAAAAGCTCTGGAGACTAAACGTAAGCTAGATATTGGCTACTATGATTAATTCACTATGTAGGAAGCATATATTTGCGGAGTTGATGTTATATGGCCCAAGCTTGAGTCCTAAATTCTTACTAATATTAGTGAATGCTTTGTGCAACATACGTAGGTAGGTATCTAAGTGGTTGAAAGAAGTTGGTCTTAGCTAAACGTTGGAAGGTCCGACAGCATAAGTTGCTGACATAGTTGTTAGGTAGTTACATGTTTAGATTCAAATAAATAAGGTAGTCTTTTGAGTTGATTAAGCTAAATGAATATCAAGGAGTCAACCGTTATATATATATATATAAAACATGAGTTATAGCATTGTCAACTTCATATAACATATTGATTACATTCACAACAGTAGGCTATAGGAAAAGAGACAATTGAACGTAATGAATTATATAAGTTTAAGTCGACTGTTACGTACATATAAGAAGGTAGGTATAATATATGTATGTTTCAATATCTGAAGACGCGTCAATGATAATTCAACGCTTAGTACGACAATAAAGTTGAGATCATCTGGTGTAACTATGATTGAAGTGTATGTTGTAGTAATATGTGTGTGAATTGGTAGATAACCGCTGTACGCGTAGTAGCAGTAACTGATAACTGTGCAGCGTATGGTTGGTTACATAAGCATGTATTAGAGCTTAAGGTTTCTGTGGCTAGGTGGAGGCTCATTTGTATTGTTAGGTACAATACGTACCCGCACCTGGTGTCACCCCTGACACACTGACTTGGAGTTTCCCATCTGCATTTTTCTTGACGGCAGCTGCGAAGCTTAACATCACGCCGGAACTCATCATCAACAAGACTCGGTCAATCCGTTTCCGCCTTCCATTTTAACAATGCTATGGGGAATTGAAATTGAATGTGTACAATCTTTAAATCAATTTACTCCCCGTAAAGTTTCTTAAAAACAGCATTGCTGTACTGTAAAAGTCTACATACAGCGAAGAAGAAGTCGCGACCAAAGCGCGATTAGCTGTGGCGTAAAGTTTTAGCGCTTGAGTGAAGCTGTGGCTTGGCACTTGTCTGCTCCGGATCTGATGAATCTGATGAATCTCATGAAGTGAATATTAGAAGTCCGAGTGAGTACCTGCCCAAGGAAATAGATGATCAATGATTAATTATGGATATCCGGGTTTCAACTGACAACTGACTCACTTATTATAGGTACGTTCCTTCTGCAATTGTCGTTTTGCATCTTATTAAAGAACCCCGCGTCGCACCTTCAACCCGAACTTGAACTTGAACTTGACGAATTAATTTATTCCTAATGCAACTATTGCATCGGTCTTGAAGCTTCATTCTTCATCAGAACTTTTAATTGTCTCGCATTTTACGTCTAACCTATTACACCTTTCCGGTGTCTTTCCTTCATCGGCATCAACAGAAACCATCACTTCTGAGGAACTTATTCGATCATTAAAACCATTTCCCATCTAACCTCTAGTTGACATAGGGGTGAAATCATGGCGTCGGAACCTGAACCAATGGCAGAGGTTGTAAGCGAGGTTGTAAGTGGAGGAGCGGACGCTGTAGTCGATACTGCAGTAAATGTTGTCCTCCCTACCAAATTCTCTTGGTTGTAAGTCAATACTCTTATCCAATATATTTACTGTCATTACTCACCTCTGTATCATCAAGGCAACCCCATGTCATCTTCGTGGTCATCCTCGTTGGTGAAGATGAGGTCCCCTTTGGAATCCAGAAGGACTTCCTTTGCGCTAAGTCCTCCTACTTTCGCATCCACTTTGCCAACAAACGAGGGGAAGACGCTGGGCTTGAGCATATCGTCAAACTTCCCCAAGCTACCCCTGAAGTCTTTGGCTTCGTCCAGAACTTCTTATACACCGGAAGTCTCTTCCCCGACCCCGATTCTCTCCCTGGATATGAAATTCTGATTGCTTCTTGGGGGCTGGGAAACGAACTAGGTATTGAAGGTCTCTGCGACGAAGCCCTCGAAGCTATGGCCGAATGCAGACGTGTCACGCAGCACATTCCCGCTACACCTCTCCTTGTCAAGGCGTGGAAAGACGCTCCAGAGGGCTCCTCTATTCGTACGCTCCTTCTTAACTGGGCTGCAGAGTACATAAGATCCTCAGAATCTAGGCAAGAATTTACTAAGTCTTTGCCTCAAGAGGTACTCAGTGAGCTCGTAATCGCAATGAGCCATCTAAATTCTTCGCCAGTCATACAGGTTAATCCCGTCCTGCCCCCTGCCAGCCAGGCCCAGAAGAAGAATGTCCACTATCTAGACCCAGAAGATAGTGAAGACGATATATACACCAAACCACAGAAACATCGTCACTCGGATGTGGCCTCGAACAGACTGACATCTGGTGAAAGAAAGGTCGGGTCTAAGAAACCCGCCTCGAGAGCATCACTCCCTACGCCCAAGCCTGTTAAGTTTAAGCGATCTAGCCTGAGTGCTGACCTTTCGCAATACTCAACGGAAGATAAGCTATGGTTCTGCGAGCGACTCTTGGGTAAGATGTTATCTGGACCTGGTAAGTTATCTACCTCATAAATCACTCACATCCGACATTGGTCATTTCATATTAACATAGACTCAATAGGCTTCTGGACTCGCCTGGTCGGTCCTTTCCGTGAACCCGTCCGCCCTGTCGAAGATGGCGTACCGGATTATCTGACAAAGATCAAGGTGCCTATGGATCTTACCACGATCAAAAGCAAGATGGACCGCAAAGAGTACCAGGACGAGCAGCAGTTCGCAGCAGACATCCGTCAGATCTTCATCAATTGCTACGCCTACCACGAACGAGGCTCTCCAATGTGGGCTAACTGTGAGAAGTTTGAGAAGACGTTCGAGGAGAAGTTTGCGGATATGCCCAAGGAGATTGCGAAGATGCTGGGCGATAAAGCCTCTTAGTGCGAAGCCTCTTAGTGCGTCCGCCGTCTGGTGGGGAGTTTCTTTTTTTTCCGTTACGTGGTAGTTTGGCTATTGCCCAGATACACTCGTACGACTTGACCTTTACGCACGGATGGACCAGTTTACTTGGATGGACGGGTTTGGAGTCTATGCAGAAAGGTTACATTGTTATAGCATAATCGGCACATATTCGTGCAACCAGGCGTGAGATGAAGCACCCTGAGTCCTGGATCGTTTAGTCGATCTCTTAATGGCCTGTTATAGAGGCATTGCGACGCATATGCATTTGCGGGCTAGATGCGGTCTTAGCACTAGTACATTTGTTGTCATTTTTTCGTTTGCCTGGCGTCTCTACGGGGAAGAGGGAGAGAACCATACTTGCCCCCCTTTGTTTCAGGGATAGATAGCACGGCAGTAATCTCGGGGATTCTTGATATCGGACTGGTTCCTTGCGAAATGGATTTGATTTGATTTCTTTGAGATGTAGGTCGTTTTCACCTGTGATTGTGTTTGTCTTATGGATGCTAGACCGTATAACGTGTGATTGTTAATCGTTTAGGTTAAGCTGTTACCAACACTGTATAAGGTATATCTCCAAGTTATGACTCTTTATAAGGGGTGTTGGGAGAGGTTGAATTTAAGGACCTAGGTGCTTTGGTACCTAAGGTAGTATTGGTTAAACCAGAAGTCATCCCTAAATGTGTAAAGGTTCCTGATTGTAAGCTGCCTGTTAGTTAGTGTATTGGGTACCTTAGGTTAGGTAGGTAGCTATAAACTTTGTCCGTAATACGGCTCTTAGCCAAGATACGGACTGAAACCTCAAAACTGCTGCCTTCAAAGCATTTAATGGGTCGATTTCCCGACGATTCGGATACCATAACTAGTATAAAGAATCACCATAAAATGCCCTTTCATTTAGAACCTAATATCGAGCCTAGGTATTTATTGGTATAACATATTCGAACAGTCCGAATTAATATCCATTAACAGCGTGGCTCATCAAATTACATAACCCTCTTTTAAGTCTCTTCGTAATACTCTATAACTATCCATTTAATAAGTGGATTACCTAGCCTGTGCTCGTATTGGAATACCATGGCAGGCTTCATCCGCCAGCAAGGATGTAACAATGGGGGATGCTAAGATCGTGATACATCATGGTGACCACCAAACTCGTCGGCCTTCATAACTCATCAAACCCCATAAATCAACCATTTCAAGGTCGTAACCATGTCTCTCGCGCCGTATTCGTCGTACCTTAGATCTTGTATACCAAATCACCGTCCGTGTACCTATGCCCTTACGTTAGTATTGATACACCCCGACTCCGAAAGGAGAAGTCACTTACATGATTTGATTCGCATCATCCATCTTCTTAAGCGCCTTAACAGCCTCCTCTCTTGAGAAAGCGGCTTCTTTCCCTCCGATGCGTTTGTTGACAGCTTCGATGACCTGAGCTACGTTGGCCGAGTCGTCTTCGAATAGGTCCGTGTTGAGAAGCTGTCCAAGCGCCGTCCGGAACGTCGCTAGCCTCTCGGGGGTGATCGGCACTTCGATATTGAGCTCGGCTGCACCGGCGGCTAGCTCTGCATCTTCTTGCGTGTCTTCTTCCTGCGTCTCGAGTTGCGACGCCGGTACGGAGGAGGCGAATGAGACTTGGGATGTTGCGGGTGCGTTTGAGGAGGATGCGGGACCGGTTCTGTTAGAACGTCGTGGCGTGGCGTTATAAAGATCTTCGTCTTCGTCGTCGTCATCGTTTACTCGTGCAGGAGTACCTGGAGTCTTACTGGCATTCGTGCCGTTAGGGCGGCGGCTGCCGTTGGTAGACGGTTGACTACGGCCAGTCGTGCGGGTTGACGGGGTAGTCCTACTGCGAGCCGTCGATCCCTTATAGCTGGTATCACGATCACCGTCATCATCGTCGCTGTCCTCGTCTGACGAGTCTGACTCAAGCCGTTGAGTACGTCTGCGCTTTCGTTTCGACTCATCCTCAACCACCTCCTTGAATAGGGCAAAACGAAGGATAGCCTCGGCTGCCAACGCATCTCGTTCTTCTACTCGGTTCGAGAGTCGTGACTTGGCGTGCGCGGTTGCCAAACGGATCAGCGTCTCTAATGTACGGACGGTCAGAGGAGATGTCCTCCTTTGGTTGCCCTCCATCTCGTCGTTGCGTAGTCCGACATATATTTCCGCGATACGCTCCGAAGCGTCCTGCGTTAGTACAGGCTTGACTCTCGTTTTTGCGTACTGGATATACTTCTTCATGAACGGAATGCTGAGAACTTCTCGCTTCTTATTGGCGCCACGACCGGTAGTAAGAGTAACACCCGCGTGCAGCATCGCGTCGTATTTCTCATATACTTCTGTAGGCTTTTGAGTGGCGTCTTGACTTTGTAGTGCAACACTAAGGGCTTGTTGGGCATTTTCGCGAACAGGAGCACCCTCATCAGTACCAGGCTGCCGATAGCGATGCATACGTAAGACGTGCTCGGAAACTTGGCGATCTCGGGTGTCTTCGATATCATCCGTAACGACGAACAGGAGATCGAAACGCGATAGCAGGGAATCCGGGAGAGCGATGTTCTTGTGGGGATCTTTGTGAGTATCGTATTGACCGAATATAGGATTCGCGGCTGCAATGACACTACAGCGGGCATTGAGCGATGTATGAATACCGGCTTTGGCAATGGTGACCGTTTGCTGTTCCATAACTTCGTGGATAGCAACTCGATCGATATCTGACATCTTGTCAAACTCATCAATACAAACAACACCTCTGTCTGCCATAACCATAGCACCGGCTTCCAGTCTCCTTTCACCGGTTTCCTTGTCAGATGTGACAGCCGCCGTTAGACCGACGCCCGACGAACCACGACCGGTTGTTGCGATGGCCAACGGCGCAGTATTGAGCACGAAGCGCAAAAGTTGAGACTTGGCCGTTGAAGGGTCACCGACCATGAGAATGTTGATGTCACCTCTCAGATGCGTACCATTCTCCAAATTCTTCTCCATACCACCTAGTAACATGAGCAATATCGCTTTCTTGATATAGTCATGACCGAAGATACTGGGCGCTAGTGACTGCGATAGAAGCTCAAAAAGATTCTTTTTCTTGGCAACCTTGTTGATATTACGGATGTCGGTGTCGGTAATTGTTGCTGTCGCGACACCGCCGCTTGCTTTGGACGAGAGGAGGACAATGTTATTTGCTAGGATTATTGTCTTGAAGAGTGCACTATTGTGATTTGTGTTTCGGTTTCCCAGTGTCCGGAAAATACCGACAAGTTGGACCCTGTCACCGGGTTTCGCCTTGTCAACCAGGTCATCATCTAAAATGACGTCCACGCCACGGGGGAGTTGGCCGGCGGGAGCTCTCTCGGGCATTTCCTGTATGGAAATTGTCTGATGATCCCTATATGTGCAGAATCCGTACTCTGTTAGGAGTGGGTTACCCTCCTCATCTTCCTGGGGATAGACACTTGATGTAGTCACACCATTGGTCATAGTCTGGTCACGATATTCACGGAAGTGGAAAATATTCTTCTTCTCATTGTAATGCACACTCTTCACAACCTTTGGTCTGATGAGCGAGCATCTTGTGACGATGCCTTCGATCGATACCATATGGTTTAGGTGGTTTGATGATAGCGTTCTCGGATTGCAAGCATTTAGACCAAAGCTGCCTGCCCAAGCGCAGTAGTATAAGACATCTGGGTCGGTCTGATCGGGTCGTGCTTGAGGGATAGTTTTTACGATCTCCTTAAGCGCATGATTAAAGGCCAGGGTGTAGTCAAAAGGATCGAATAATAAGCCGTCTGCTAGTTCTGTGTTGTGGTCACGAACGTGGTCTAAATTGACGACTAACCGCCTCTGGTTCTTCTGAAGCATTAAAATGATATCGGATCTGTAACTCCTCGCATGCTGGTCATCTGTCGACGAAAATATTCGTTAGTACTATGCTAATGCTGGCGTTATTTGGCAGCTAACTTACGAGGATCGAGAAACTCCTCGGCCAAGCGAATACGCTCCTTGGCCGCTTCATCTCGAAGCATGAAACTATCCATGATGCCTTAACTTTTTCGTATCTTCTGACTTAGCGGGAAAGTATAGTAAATTACAGCAATTATAAATATAGCCTGATGCCACGATGGTTCTTGGTTTTTAGTGGTTGAGTATGGAGCGATGTGGCATAGGTGGGGGGGAAAGGTTGAAGATCTAGGTTGAGTTGCTATGTAGTTCAGGTTGTTTAGGATAAGGGGTAGAGGGGAAGTAAAAAAATCCATGTCGCGTCTGTAAACGCGCTTTTCGCGTAGAGCGCGTCTTTAGGTAAAGTGGTTGCAGACGCCCCACATCAATTAAAGTCCTAATCTAGTAATATAAGTTCTCCGATTACCTCCGGTTTCAGTGCTTGCAAGTAACGTTTATGTATAAGCAACTACCCGTGTATTTACATAAGTACTAACTTAAGGTTACCTTAGTAGGCAGATATTCATATATAAAAAGGAATTTACCTGTTTTGCAAGTTCACGAATTTTTAAATAAAAAGAACAAGTTAATTTAATATAGAAGGTTTCATGCATTCGGTCAGGAAACCTAAGCGCATTTAGCACATCTTGGAGAATAAATGATTGGCGTGACGAGACACCGGTCAAGGAATAAGCCTAGCGGAATCAGCCGATAGCATGTCTTAACGGTCTAAACAGCCCCTAGATTCAGCCACAAGACCTACCTCCTAGGTACCATCTATTAGGTAGTGAGATTGCCGTCATCCCTACTATTACTTAGGTACTTCCCTATTTCCTGCCGCACCAGTTTCCGACACCATAAACCTAAACTAAACATCAACGTTCGCATCCACCAATACGATACGCTCATTGACCTTCGAATTACCGGCGTCGCTTTCGAATATCGCGTTTTGTGTTGTTTGTCGCAAAATAGAAGCGGACCATGGCCGTAGGATTGTCTAACAGTCGCCATGCCGCTGATGAAGAAGCTCGTGCCGAAGTCGATGTGCTTAACTCGCGACTAGAGAAGACAACCCAATTAACCAAAAAGATCCAGGCATGTCTAGGGAGATTGGAGGCTACCGGCAAGAGTGTGCGAGATGTGTCAGGTCCCCTCACTGGCGAAACAAAAAAGCTTCAGGTCTTGGGGAATAGTGAGCTCGTCCCTTTTTATATACCACTCCACGACTTTGTATCGTATGCCTTGTACTAAATTCGTAAATCCCCATAGACATCGATGCCGTCATCGCAGCTATAGAGAGACTTCGCCAGCCCGCCGATTCAAAGAATGATGAAGAAGCGATTATCCGCCAGGGACCCGAGAAGGCTGGCCTATCCAACTACCTGAACTCCATTAAACGGTTGAACAAGGCATTGTCAGACATGAAGACCTCAAATCTGCGCGCAAACCAGCAAACCATGACTGATCTCCAACGTTTAATCAAATCTGGAAATACCCAACTCGAGAACTCGTTTGACAAGATGTTGCGGGCAGAGACACCCCGCTCCATTGAACCACTGCAATATACGACCAAAAATACACCGTTCCCCCTATTAGCTCAGGATAAGATCTCGCGCCTGAGCTTAATGAACTCTTATGTATCTGGCAACTCATCGTCGGAGAACCCGCTAATCAAAATCTATGCGGAAGTAAGAGGACAATATCTACAACAGACCTTAGTGAACCTGGCATATGCAAGCGTGAATACGGCAAAGAAAAAGAGTCCAGACGCCATTTACCGAGCTGGTACTAATGGAATTGGTATGTACGCGCAGGCAATGGAAGGTTTATTCGTTGCCGAATACGACAATATCTGCAACATATTTATGCGACAAGACTGGGGACCAGCTTTTCAAATGACATGTCAAGCCCCGCTGGCTGAGTTGGCTCGAACGATTCGAGAACTCAACAATCACATCAAGGCCCATCTCAACACCGACTGTTATCTTGCATATGAAGTCATTGAGATAATGTCAAATCTGTCCAACAATATCGAAGAGCGCACAGGCGAACTTAGATCTACACTGGCCGCCGCATTGAAACCAGTACGCGAGACGGGCAAGTCTTCACTTGCCGAGCTGCTTGAGGAGACGAAGCGGAGAGTGGGGGCAATGCAAACCCTCCCCTCGGATGGTTCGCCGGTGCCTGTCGTATCAGAGACGATGCAACGCTTGCAAACCATGGTTGACTTCCTTCGGCCAATATCTAGCATTATGATCTCGCTAGGAGACGGTGGTTGGAGATCGGCTGCCGCCGCGAACACTAGTATGGACGTAATTCCTAGCCTGGCATCGTTCGATGTTGGCGCCGACGGGAAGGAGATTTTTGCGCACTATTGTACTGATACGATAGATGCGCTAATGTCGGCGCTCGAGCAGAAAGCGAGGGTATTGCTAAAAGGAAAGTCCATTTGGGGTGTGCTTTTAGCGAACAGTGTCACTATCATTGAACGCATGATTCGGGACTCTGACCTCAAACCACTCTTAGAAGGCAAGCTCGGCGCCTTAGAGGGCTGGCGCAAGAAAGGGAAGGCCTACTACGCCGAGGCGTGCAAAGACGTATCGATGCACCTATTTGACGTAATCCACACGAATCGGACCCAACGGCCGCCTTCTGGCTCGTCTGAATCAGCATCGATTCTTAAGGGGCTTAGCAGCAAAGACAAGGACAGTATCAAGGCAAAGTTTCAGATTTTCAACGCATCTTTTGATGAACTAGTAGCTCGGCACAAGACCTACAGTATGGAACGGGAAGTAAGACAAATGTTGGCCAAGGACATGCAGCAGATGCTTGAGCCTCTCTACAATCGCTTCTGGGACCGGTACCACGAGATAGACAAGGGCAAGGGCAAGTACGTCAAGTATGATAAATCGTCGATCGCCGCTGTCTTCCTGAGCCTCTATTGATAAAGAATGCCGAGCCATCTGCCGACCAGCTTAAAGCCAGCCGAGCCGTTTGAGCGTCGCGAAATATGCCAAACAGGCCTTACACCAGGTTGGTATGTGGCGATCGTCATATGATTTGTTCGCGATGCTACAGCATGGCAGGCAGGGTCGCAGCTGTAAGTTAATATCTAATTATTCCCGGGCAGGCTTTCAATATAAGCGGTAGCTAAATTTTGAGTGTGAAGCTTGGATGGGAGTGGGGGTCACCGGGCCAAGGTGACCGAACCAGGAATGATTCACCAGGAATTTCCGTCGCGGTACCAAGAATTTGGAAATACGCAAAATGCGCGCTGCGAAGGGCATCCTGTTTGTTGTTTAGAAAATGATACCCTTTTGGCCTACCTTGGAGTTTCAGAGGAGGGATTGTTGCAGGGGGATCATCTGCCGGACCTGGTCATGTTCAAGTACCCTTTTATCGAGAATGGCCTGATGAGTTGTATCCGATGTAAGACGATGTTGCTGTCGTCGGGGCCGTGGGGACCAGCTCCACTAGGCTGAATCCCCAGAGGGAAGATGAGATATCAAAATGTGATATGTGACTAATGGATGCTGGGTTGGACCAAGAAATACGTGCCTGCAGCGACGATCAAAGGAACATCAAGGTCATGGAGAACCCCATCCCAGAGTAACGCCCTTCAGCAGCAGAAGCTTCTTACACCCAGATAATCCAAAGACTAGGAATTCTTGTGGGCCAGGCTATCTGCATTGCTATCCCTTGGCGTTTATTGCTTAAGTAATGTCTTCCCTTCTCGGTCGACCTGCATGCAGGGAATCGACGCTTCCTACATAGCAGGGCCCTGGCCCCTCAAGGTGAGGTCGGTGAATTTCTGGGTCTTCTCCAGAGTCAGGAAACAGCGGCAACCGCCAGAAGCCGTCGTCATTCGCGTACTCAGTCCGGTCCATTCCCGCAATATGGGATCCGGGGCCTTGGTGTAGTTGATTAATCCGCCCATTACCATGTTCGATGTTCGTAACTCATCCCTAGTCAAAGTGGACCACCAAGTAGCAATGTGGCTTTCTCCCCCTAGTTCCTCCACGTCTGCTGGACAAAATGTACCCCTCTTTCAAATAAGGCATGCCGATTTAGGTATATTGCTTTAGGAATTGCTTTCAAATCGTCGTCTACGGTCCTCCGCGAACTTTGACCTAGGTATGCCCCATGCCACACAACCCACACAAGAATATCTGGCTAATCAGCCCGTGGGCTAGTCAGTCAGTCCCAGTCGCTCACATCCCGGGCGATTTCCCCGTTACACAACAGCGACAGCGCAGCACAGCGATGCCCAATTCGACTCTTTTGGGCTCCACAAGATCCGTCGATTCCTCTAACTTAGGAGACACTGACGAGATTGCTGGGAGCCGGTTAGCTATCTACCCAGGATGGCCCTGCCTGGTTGGCTACATCCTTACAGGCACACGCGTACGCGCACTTATTCACATACATACGTCTCGTACCTGTCGCCGCTCTCGCTTTGCCCGTTGCGCCGACAGGAGGCGTATGAAGGGTGTTTAGGAGCACGGACTGCTAATCCTATCCCCCCATGGGGGAAGACCGTAGCCTAGTATGTAGGTATTGCAGCCAGTTCGCTGATAGCTAGGAACAAACCGCACTTGCGGCGAATGAGAGACGGTGCTGCGTTATGCCCTCCTGCAACCCGCCATGCAGGACCGGACAGGACAGGAACGATTCACGCTGCACTGACTGCACACCCTGCTCGTTTGTGCCCCACTGAACCGACCTGGACCCTCGCCCACCACCCAAACTCCTCTTCCAACACGGCATCGCCAAGTCTGCTCCTTAGCTGATATGCATGCTGCAGAGAGGCCGTCAGCATCCTTCCTACAGGGCTGGGACTATCTAGTTTGCGGCAGGCTCTGCTTCTCCCGTTGTTCTATTCACCTCTTGGGTGATGCGGACATGATTTGGTTGGAATCTGTTTGCGGCACAAGCATGTATGTACCTACATGTTTATGTATGAACCCTGAGTACCCGCTGTTTGACCAACCAATCTTATCATCAGAAAACGAAAGAGACTATAATAATCAATGATGACAAGCAAACCCCGACACTTCCACGATAACAGGAGCTCAAAAGCAATGTGCCTCTTCTTCCGACCCTTGCCGTAGGAGGCTAGCTAGATAGGTTAGGCTTGCCCACCCAAGCTTTTGCGAGATGGCGATGACGACGATGATGTTTCTCGCCACTGGGGTTTCATTACCATCAAGTAAGAATATATCAGATATCAGAATGCACATCGATGATTTGATATGGTCCCCGCTGACCCGAACAGTGATCTATTCGGGTTCACCTCCGTGGCCTGGATGATTGGATCTCGGTCGATGATGGGATGACGGGTTCGTCCTTCGTGAGTGAGTGGCGGCAGCAGCAGCATCAGGAGGGTGGGCAGCAGGACAGCAGGGCACCCTATCGATGCTACTCATGTAGTTATTCTCCGGGATGGACGGGCCTACATGGCCTTTCTGTTGATCAGTCCCGAGCCGTCCGCATTTGTTCGCCTACCTAAACATTGCTTATATACCCTTGTCCCTCACGTAACTTTTGACTTCCTCCTGGTTCGTTATGCCGAGATATATAGGAGGAATGGCGATAGGTTGTTACTGTGGCTCGTTGCTCCCATGACCCATCCCGGTTCGTGGGTTAATAGCTCATGTATATGACGATGCGCGCACGTATGCTCATGTATGTAGAATCCTGAAGTAAAGGAAGCTACATACGTGGCCCATGTTTACCCAAGTATAATGGTTTTGTCTATCGCGAGACGTATGATATAGATGTCATCTTATGTCTCGTAATGTTTAATACCATGAAAATATAACCCAAACGGGAAAATAAAATGAAGCATGGGACTGTCCTTTGTCAGCCCCTTGCCGCCGTCTAGCACGGGCTAGAGTCCCTCATTAGCTACGGTGGCCCGTTGAATAGCAAGCTTCGGTGCGGCGTAGCTTAAAGCGCGTTACACACACGTACATGGCATAGAAGCCCCGTAAGCAAGAACATGATCTCGGGAGCGGTGATAGTCGTAGACGAAACCCGAGACGCGTGTCAGATAGACCCCAATGTCAATGTTAGAAGTAATCAGCGTCGACAACGTGATTCATCCTTGCTACGGTAGCATGGACTCCGCCTAAGGATTTTCATACCACTCCCGGTACGACGGTCGCCGAAGGGACCGAAGCGCTACGGCACCGATGGTCGATGGGGGCCGTCAGGACTATATTTGGGAGGCGAGGCCTTAGGCATGCAGACGGACGGGGATCCTAAGGCTTGAATCGCAAGGATAGATTACGGAAGAACAGGGAGAAAAGATGGGATTCTGGGGTATGATAGATTGTATCATAACTAAATGCATTTTATTGATTGATCTGATTCTCATAGCATGCCTTGGTATCATCGAGAGTAAGCATAATCATCCCAAATTGCCCGCGTGACGAGGTATCGATACAAGAAAATATAGAGAGGAACCACATGTTTTCGATGTAATTTCTCCGCAGAAGAAAAAACAATTTCCCTTCCTAGACATTTACCTCCAATGCAAGTTGAGACACTCCGGTGGGCGGTAGTAGTCGTTTTCCCCTTGGCCGTTGTCCAATTCTTCCGCAAAAAATTGTACCAACCAATAGACAATTCTCATCTCGAATAAGGCTGGAAAACACCACTCATTCCCCAGCCTGCGGCCGTCTGCTTTTAGATCTCATATCCAATGTGGGTATAACCAGGGGGTATATCATCGTCCTGACTAAGAGACCAGAGGCCAGCAGGAGAAATCCCGCTACGCTTTGCGGGTCCATCCGGGATCTACCCGCCAGCTTTCAGGGAATGGTGGAAGGGAGGAAAGAAACGGCGGGGGGAATAAAAAAGAAAAAAAAGAAACACCACAGCTCCATCAGTACTGTATACCTAGAATAATGGAGAAAAAATGCCCATAGACCCTACGCCCTAACACATGATATTCTGTTCCTAAAACTCTTTGCAGCGCCCAAATGTCACCCCAGACAAAAAGCAATACCTGGAATCCCTGCGTGTTGCTCCATACGAACTCCAGTTCGCATCCGGACCCCATCCCAAGCCAACAACAAAGAAAGGAATGCTAAATCAGGATGCGTGTAAGAAAAAGAAGAAAAAAGCAATGGTAAAAAGGACAACCAACACAAGAACGCATAGCCATGCAACAACGAGAGTAGTACATGAGGGGGGTGGTCAGGGTGCATGGAGTCGAGGTGAGCCATGATGGACAAGGTGCGTGGGAGGAGTAGGAGGGGGGATGGTCGAACGCATGGTAACGAGGAGTTACAGTGCATTTTGCAGTATGCAGCATACGTAATACAACCAAAGCAGGCCCTCTTCTCTCATATCCCAGCACAGGACGACAACCGTAGAAGAGAGGTACCGTCGAGACAGGGTGTCGCACACATCCAGACTAGGCGCCGTCTCATCGTCAGCCTTGCATGCGGGGGGCGCCCAGGTGAAGGAGTTGTCGGTACTCTGTATATGATATGTGGATATGTATGCAGATATGTAAAGATAGTAGAGCAAGTTTGAGTCACTAGTGTAAGTGAGTTGACCCAGTTTGCGTGCGATGCTGGCGTAGTAGTAGTGGTAGTAGTAGGTTGTTGCTTTGAATGTTTTATCAGGGGTTTTTTTTTCCCTTCATAAGCGGTTCTTCCCTATCCGCATCCTATACGGTTGATAACCCAAAGGCTTGGCCGAAAAGAGTGAGAGAGAAAAAAAATAAAAACGCTGAAGCAAAAACGTGTTTCCAAGCATTCGTTCCCAGAGGATCTCGTCGAGGCCAAGTGGGAGAATGGGGGAACATGATAAAGATGTGCGATTTGAGAAGGACGGTAGCCGAGCTCGTGGATCTTAGTCCCGTAACTTGCATCCGAGGGAAAGGGTGACGAATCCTAATCGGGACACCGTGGGCAGGCATAGTTGTTCCCGCAGTAGTCATGGGTGCCAAAGTCGACTGCCTTGCAGCAGAACGTGCAGCAGCCATCGACAAGAGGTTGATGCTCCTTGACGCACATGGTGACGGACAGGTTGACCGAAAGAGGTTTAGAGTAGTCGAAGCTTAGCTTGAGTCTTGAGGGTGTCTTAATAAAGAGTCTTGTCACTTTTATGTGGACGAGTTTTATGTGAGATGGAAGATCGTTGAAGTATAAATGTCCTTGGCTACGAAGAGACAACGAGTATATGATGAGTATGAGTACGAGTACGTATGAGAAGAGGTCTATTGTAGCAAGCCTACTTTCTCGAAGATGGGTTTGTGTAAGTGGGCTTTGGAAGTACAATGAAGTGAGTGGGAAACGAGCCCTTTAAGTATTTCTGTCGAGTACGTGAGACTATTGATATCCCTAGGAAAGGTGGGTTATTTTGAGTTGGGATGTGACCAACTTTATATGTGCCCATGGTGGTGGACGCTTAAGCAGTTGAGCCCTCTCTGATGATGGCAGATAGGACAAGGCCATCCGACTCAACTGTCAAGGCACAGGACAACAGGGGGGGTTAAGCTTAGGCAGGGGCAGGGGTATTGGACTATGGAGCTACGAAGAAGGCAACTAGAAGAAATAGAAAAAAAAGAAGAAAAGAAAAAAAAAAAGAGGAAAAGGTTAAAAATACGAAAACGATAAATTAACCTAGATGGTTAATACTTCACCATCGTGGGCAGGCCACAGGAAAAGCTGCCCAATCTCGTTAAAGAAAGCCCAAGATTATATTATGTGGGCTTTGCACAACTTAACTAAAAAGAGGGGGGGGGGAGTGGTAAAGAAAGGGGAACAGGGAAGAGGAAGAAAAAAAAAAAAGGTGAGCTAACTTTTTCGAAGGGTTAGGGGAAAAAATTAAAAATTGAAGGAAAAAAAAAAACTAGATGGGATTTTGAAAATGGGTACCTAGATACCGTTGCATTCAAGCGGTGTGGCATGATTTAGGGTCACGAGGCACCTGGACTTTAAGAACGGGATTTTTGCTAACAGCGAATTGGTATGTATGTTGATTATATGTATGAATATGTATGACCATTGCCCATATGCCCATACATATGTATATACCTGCTTATACCTCATGCGCAGATGGTGAATACTACCGTATTTTATCACATTTCTGAACCTTGATGGCCAATTCTATTTCTCCATTGTCTGTTCCAAGTACTATGAATTCATAGACTTATCGGGATTTATGTACCTATCGTTAAGACATGCCAACGTGCAACTAACTACCTAACTAACCAACCAACCAACCTGGGCATGTAAATAAAAATCGATAGACAACCTTACCGATGATGATATTAGGTAAGAATAAATCGAAGCCTTTCAAATCCCTAACCTAAATCCGGCAGAGCCTCTCTCGCTTACACCCGTCCATCGTCCACCACAGATGGATAGATATATGTACCTATTGATGTTAATAATACCCTACCTTGCCCTGCCCAGGTGCTAATAGACGCACGCAAAAGTTAACCCTACTCGAGGTGCGTGACTAGAATTGCATTGTCCTCCTAGTTCCCCCCCCTCTCTTGTAGCCTTATGTTATGCAAGGTACCTCATCGACATGCTTATGTGTATGTATAACACATACGTCGTGAGGGGAATAGTTGAATTGGAAAAAAAAAAAAATGAGGGGGAAAGTTGGAAAAGCCCATCGGCCAGCGGCCAGAAGTCCGCGGAGGCGCTGCGGAGGCGAGCGCCGTCTACGAGGTAGGTAGGAGAGGAGAAACAGAGGCTATGGAAACCGGCGAAGAGAATAAAGGGAAATAAGATGCATGCACGATGGTTTTCCATATTAGAATCGCCTGTCGATACGAGAAAAGGATCGTATGTAAGTAGGGGTCTACCACAGTAGCTCGAGAGCTTAGCCCAGCCTGACGGATCCGGTCGATATCCTTATAGGTTAGCTGGTTGCACGCATGGCTGCATGTATAATAAAAATACCAATTTAATCAGTTGCCTCCAGTCAGGTCTATTCTTAGCCTGTGGTATACCATAGCCTATATTGCACCGCAGATACATGTCCCTAGGTCCTAACGATGCGAAGGTATGATTTCAGGTCTGATGAAGCCAGCTGCTTGCATACAGCCAGGTATCCATTTTCCAAATGGAGAGCTGTATGCTACACTGAAGGGATGACTGCATTAACTGCATGCATACCTAGGTACAGTATGCTTCTTGGCGCTCGTTGCTGAGGGAGCCAGGTCCTCGTTACGGAGTACTATGTAAGGTATACAGGGTCATAAGTAAGATACCCAAGCCCTGCTGTGAATGCAATTCATGACATGGTAGATTCGAGCTGCTGCTGCTGTTGCTCAATGCGCTGAAATCTCTCGACATGGCAGAACTGCAAGGTCTCGCAGCAGACCCTAGCTAGCTGAGTTCTCATTCGGTACATAGCCTGTAGTCTGTGGGCTCAGTAAGAATTATATGCCCCAACCAATTGGAGACGGTGAAGGAGGCCACAAGGCAACCCGAAGAGCTGCACTTCAAGATTGATTAGTTAAGTGATTTACTGTTTGCATACAAGTTGGCATGGCAGTAAGCCGCCATTGGGAGTTACCGTCACAGCCACAAACAAACTTGACTTTCGGATGGACCTTCGAGAACCCCCCTCGTTTGATAAACGAAGTGGCCACCGAGTAGCTGACATCACCACAACGAATATCAGCTCGGCACATGTTGATAGGTGCCACCAGTTCTCATATCATGAGAGCTCATATGGCTTTTGCCGGAACCCCCAAATAAGTGACAATAAACGATTATCAACGGGATGTCAGCTACGCCCCCAACGGGCCGACGCGTCCGAACTTCGGTATGGCACCTCATGCTTATCTTATCCCGTGTCCTATCCCGTGTCCTTTCCTTTCGTAGCTATTTCGCAATCTCACCAGGTCGACGATGCGACGTGAGTAGAGCACGTGGGTAGGGAAACCGAGTTTGGGGTTATTGGCGCCACTATTCTGCAGGACCATGGTAAGCCCTATCTTGAATTCTTCTACGTCAACAGTCCTCCGTCGTCCTCTATCCCCCGGGGTCTTTCAAGGGTCTTTCAAGTGGGCTTGGCTCGGTTCCATCGGCACTCGCGCTCACCATTATTTGCTATTCTGTTTCTTTGGACAACCCTATCCCGAGCCATGCGTCTCCTCTTCGCCGCCCGTTTGTGCAACTATCAAATCTTCGGCGAGGGACTTTGTGTTTCAGGATTGCATACGATAGGCCATGGTGTCGATCAGAGCTGATCAAGCTTGCCTCTTTGTCCTGAAGATCATCGGAAAAAGTGGATTTAGGGTTTTGATCTCTTCGGCCCTTCGTGCAGAGGGGAAAAAAGTGACGAGATTGACCATACCCACACCGATGAGGCCCAGGGTTTTTGCTAGTGTAGTCTCGTCGCCAGAATCAACGTTGTATTCTCTGGTGGTCTTACCAGTCTGCTTTGCTACGCCATTTTCGTAAACCCACTTTGCTCGGAACGCGGATAGTAAGCGGGGGGCGATGGAGCTTCACACCTGAATGCGACTGAGGATACAGGTAGGATACAGGCAACGGACCATATCTAGTGGGGGAGGGTCTTGTTAATCGCCTAAGCACGTTCGTCTACTCGAGAGCCACGGTGATCATACATACAAAACTACCGTAAACAGCATGTATGTAATGGTGCTCAGATCCCATCTCGACGGCATCCAATCAGTTCCTTGTTCCATCGGAGTGGGCAAAAATGGGCTATCCTACCCCCCCTCCCCATCTGACGAGTTGCGATGGGTTCCCAGATGGGTAACTCATACCCACGCAATGGGTTAGGCTAGTATCTATTCGGGAGATGCCGTCTCGAAGCAGAAGTATGTGGCTGTCCATTATGGGAAGCGGAGGCAATAAGGCTTTGATATGTATGTATAGGTAATGTATGTGTAGGTATGTAGGTAGTCACTTGAGCAGTCATGGAAGTTATCGTTTCTCCAATCCTTCTCCGTTTTGCTGCATAGAGGTGTAGCCGTCATCGTGATCAGATATTGACCCTGCTCCTGTTGCCCTGACCATGATGCAGAAAAGAGCAAAGCCGAGAAGCCGAATCCACTTCTTCAGCTAACATCTATGTAGCGCCGCGACGCTATATTAGTCGTCGTCACAATTAGCGCTCTGATAATGGAGCCAACGTCCAATCAGCAGGCCACCAGCGGTCTAGTCAACGACATCGTCCCCTTTGTCATATTGGGCGGTGAAGGAGAAGCAACGAACAGAAATCCCAAACGGGATTGCTATCAAGGGAATGCCGAGCAGGCTGAATCAAAAGGACATGAGGGGGGTCATTGCTGATCATGGTCCTAAGCATGATTCTAACTTGAATGTGCTGATATCTGTACTTATTACCCATTGCATGTGACTGGATATCTTTAATCATGGAGGTGGGTTGTAAGTCGAAAAAGGAAGCATTTTTATACCTACATGTAATAAATTTGAATTTGGCATCTCATAATTGAAGTGTGGGAGGTTCCATATAACAATATATTTATGTACTTAAGTACCTAGGTCACTAGTGTATGAGGAAGGAGATACCTAACCTTACCCTTAAGATAAACTCACCTACCTCCTACATACCTAAATGACGGATATATGCATAACCTAAATAACCTATAACCTAAACCCCAGCTATGGGACGCCGGGGCGCCCCGCGCTTGAGAATCAGCCCGCTGGAACGGGTAACCTAGAACTGATATGGAAGGTCCTCCACGGGGTTGGCGAGCCCTAAGCGTCAATGTAAAAGCCCTGACATTGGTGATCTACATAAGTGTATCCGGTATTACAGCTTCGACTACCTCCTTAACCTTAGGTAGTACAATACATAACGCAACTATCTGGAAACTGTGATAATCCGGTTGGGGCATGATTGAAACTTTTACATCTACCTACACCATTTTAGTCTTACGTACTAACATCTATTCTTCAATAAAAATAGAAAAAGTAACTACCTATATTACCTATATAACTGATTAAAAAGAAAAAGCCAAAACGCCATCGACCCTCAGTCGACCTTTATTGCAGATTTATATATTCGTTTATCTACCTCTCCACGTTTTTACCAACGTCACTCTTACATACCTCTCATGCACGATCCGCATGAAGATGCATGTAATTGTCCGTCGATCCGCCTATATTAGCTGCTTTAACGATTCCTTCTCTGCAAGTATCTTTTCTTTTCTTTCGCCATCTCCGTAACGAAGTACGTAATCCTTCAAATCGTTGGTTTACCGCTGCTGGCGTGTGAGGCGCTCGGAAGACGGAAGATCGTAGGATTTTCTTACACCCCTGGGCCCTGGTATTGTCTCCGTACGCGGAGACTTCATTTGTATATGTAGATCCGACGATGAGTCAAACTACAGTCAAACTGCAGAAAAACGCCGGACCTCTCAACCAAAATACGGCGTTTCGGGACAAGACCGAATTTCGATCGCAAGCGAGATTGCCGAGCCAATACTAATTGCAGGATTCAACGACTAAAACACTCACATCCAATGGTCTTTTACGTACATCAGAGTAATAATGATAAGTATCACACACAAAACTCGGTCCCGACCGATCTTACTCGATCGTTTTGACAGGTCCCACAAACCATTATGGAGGCTGCAGCTAAGAGGCCAGAGGGAGGCATCGAGTAACGTTGGGCTATCTCCAGACTGGGGCTGCTGGGGCTTTCAGCTGGAAAAGCCTCACGATAATACCAAGCCTAGGTATTTCTAGAGAAAATACTATTCAGATGCTACTACGAGTAGTTTGAGTAGTCTCTTTTATGCAGGCTTGGGTCCTCGCTCACCATTTGAGTTATTGTGGGATATATTCGATATCAAAGCGGCTTCCATGGTCGTTTTACTCTTAAGGCGTCACCCTTGGCTCTCGCGGGTATTAAGATGTCGCTATCTACGGCACCTGAAGCATGGCCTCTCCTGCGTGATCCGGATAAGGCGCCATTAACGATTTTCTGTTTGTTCTTCATACGACGGGCCCACGTCCATACGTACCATTTAATTCCAAACCGTTGGCCCCCGCCAACAAATGGCTCAAGTATGCGCCAGGGTGGTGTTGGTATTGGAGAACGGCTTGGGTGTAACAGCATTCCCCCAGAGCTGTGATCTAACGCTCACGGACCCGTTCTCTCAACTCCCACGATGCCAAGAGGCGCAAGGCGCTAACCCGCTTCCCCTCTATAGGCATTCACAGTACATGTAGTGACATCATCATCGAAAGATTGCTATCACGGTGGAAAATCGGATTTAGTCTGGTACAAACTGGCTCCAGCTCCACTGCGGTTTATCACGGATAAGACCGTTCTTGCAGGAACCAATATGAACGTCTATTATTGGCCTGCTCAGGGGTCAAGGAGAGGAACAAATGCACAATCAGGTCCTTGTCACCTACGACTGGCCAATCCAATTGAGTAAGACCATCTGATTTAAGACCCTAGTCTACGACAGCAAGCTACAGCGCTACGAGAGTTTCGGCATCTATTACATTTAGAGGACATCGTCCAAATAGGCAAGCCAGCACCCGATGAAAAATATATCGCAGATTCGTCATTTTGTTTACTAATACGTAACTTAGCTTTCGAAATAAACTTTCTATCAAGATTTGACATCCTCTTCTTGAAGGCTTGACACTAAAATCTTCCACAGGAAATAGCCTTGAGCATACTGATTGCGTGTTCGCCTCTGATAGGCACAACGATCTACAAACGACACTAATGGTCGGTCATGAGGACTGAACAAACTCAGTCGAAAGTCGATGTCTTGCGTAATCGAAGATGGGGGATGCCATTGTATACTTTCCCGATTTTCTCCGTTGATGAAATGAATAGGAGCCGTTTGACGTCCAAGGAAACCCCGTTCAGCCTATCGTCTGGTTGACTTGGCCTGGCAACTAACGCGCGTTCTAAATATTACTCGAACGACACTGGCTAAGCCTACCGTGGTTCACTTCAGATAGGCTCTGCAGGCACGCTAGGTTGCAGATTCGCAGAAGTGCCTATTCCGGCGAATATCTACCGCCTTCCTGAAGTGTTTACTTACCTAGTCCCGAATTTTACGGGACGGGTATCTGGGCAGTATTGGTGGCCAGAGCTAAGAATATTTTATAAAGGAGAAATATTACGAATAAAGGATATAATAAGGTCGGTATACATAACTAGTTCAATGGAATTTGTTGTCCATTGGGATATCAGCCATAGGTTCCGCATCTTCCAGAAATGATCTCTTGGCCAATGATTCGAGATATGTATTTGTTGCACTACGTCAATGAACCGAACTTCAAGGACTAGGCAGTCAGTGGACTTGAGGGTGTCATGCAGGAAGCAAGGGCATAGAGTTCACTATGCATTGGGGTATCAGCCAATATATCTCTCATGATGGTGTGCACATCATCATACTTGGCCGAGACCGAGGTAATGGATAGTGTCTTTTTTCTTCTTTTCTTCTTCTTTTAATTCCCCTCCCCAAAGTCGACGTCGTTTCGTGGCCTTCCCTTTGCATGCGGCAATCAAATCCGCTTTTCCGGACGTTTCATTGCATATGAATCCCTGTCAGACTCAGGCTGTTAATATTCAATCTTAATAAATAATACGCGGTAGGCTACGATTCACGGGCGTCGAATAAGTCTGAGCCAATCCGAGCCGGTCGGCGTTGCTCTTCAACACATACGACCGAATACACTGCTGTATTCTGTTTGCCCGATGTTCGGCATACCAATTTGACCACGACTACTAGATGGAACAAATCATTACCGAGTGATTCAAAATATCAAATGCGGCTCCGCTGTCGGAGGGCTTACTTGATCTCGCGAGGCTGAAACAATATCCGGTGATGCCCGAGATTCGTCGAAAATTTTCCTAGACGTGGGCGATGATATCTCACGGCCCACCATTACCTCCTGTTGGGCAACACAACTTGCATTTGCGTGTCTAACCCCTATCATTCGCATAGACCTCATAACCCAACAATGCCGTGATGCAGACGTTTAATTTCCAGGCCATCCTTACACTGCATATTACTCCGATGCCTCTACAATTCGGTGGCCGTCAGCATGCATACTGAAGACCGCTATTTTTCGGTCTCGAACACAGAATATAAACTTCCAATATGAGGGAGTATCTCCACCACGAACTCATCACCATCGTGAAGATAATTGGGTGGCTTCTTCCCGAAGCCTACTCCTGCAGGCGTTCCCGTAATGATAACGGTCCCTGCAGGTAGTGTGGTCCCCTGGGATACGAAGCTCACCAGCTTCGCGCAGTTGAAGATCATGTCACTGGATGAACCAAGATTAGTTATCATGGTCCTAACGCGTATGCCCCTGACTCTGCTTTACGAGGACGTCCTCACCTTAGACTGGAACTTTGCACCACTTCACCATTCTTCAACCCTCGAATAGTGAAAGTGCTGGGATCGGGCATCACTGCTGCTGAGACAAGGGCCGGGCCTAGCGGACAAGCGCCATCAAAGCCCTTGGAATAGCACGCTTGACTCTGTGCCAACTGTGCTATCCTGCTGGATACGTCGTTGGCGGCCGTGTAGCCGAGAACATAGCTCAGCGCTTCCGACTCGCTCACGTTCTTACACGTCTTCCCAATTACGATTGCGAGCTCAGCTTTGTAGTCCGCGCTATCGTCCTTCAACGTATGTTTCGGGATAACGGTACGTGCCGGCCAGGGGTCTGCCAGTGCCGTAGCCGGTTTCCTAGTACAATGCATGCAGGTCAGAGATTGCCTTAGTGCATTCTAGGCGCATATAGAACTAGATTTCGTCCGCCCAACTTACGCGACTTACATAAATAACATAGGTACGTCCGGAACCTTCACTATAGATCTGACGTTAGCACTTACTCCTGCAGGGACGGGGAAAGGAAAGAGTAAGCTGTGACAGCTGAGCGCCTATTGGCAGGATCCTCGAAGCTGCAAATCGTAGAAATACAAAGAATCCACTCACTATTCGCTTCTTTGGCGTGTGTTGCATACTGTATTGTAAGATTAGTCCTATGGTCTCGTTTCTCGGTCCTTCTACTCGCCCACAAGCCCCTGGTGAGACTTACATTCAGCCCGATACCTCTGATAGTCCCGACCTCTGCCGCAGACACCGGTGACAAAAGGCGGCCGATGATCTCGATCTTGCCGTTCGGCTCCCCGGGGTCTAAGACAGAAGTTCCACTAAACACCCAGACCTGTACAGTTTCGCCTTCGTATACGGCATTTCCTATATCCCAGTTGCTCATAAGAGGTTCTCCAATAAGCACCCGGTCGACTTCCCCGCGCGGGATGAATCGTACAAGTCCTGCGGAAATAGTTAGAACTATCCGCTATTCGCTCTGTTTCCGTGTCAAGGACAAGAGCTTACTCTCGAAACCCATTGTTTCCTGTGTTTGGTAGGTGTCGGATCTATTATAGGCACCTCAAAAAGTAGAAGGTTTCCTTCCCCCTTATACCGAGGGTGATTCGCAAGTCGATGGTCTGGTTGCTGGTTGGGTTACTATTTTGCCAGGGCCGAACGATAGACTGCAAGGGTTGCCCAAGCACCCAGATATATATGAGAACGTCCCTGTTTCTTTGATTCCCTCTTCATCTCGCCCGTGACTTTCCGTCTTTGCGCCCCCTTCTCAGCACGTTGCTTCACCCCAGACGGGATCGCAGCTCCAACATTTCCTGATTTAACATACGGCATTAGTGTTTATACCTTCGAGCTGTATAATCAAACAGTTTTAAAAATGACAGATATAGTTAATGATTACTGGTTGACCGATCTTGACCGGTCTTTATACCTGATGTTAGTATCCGCCTCTTGGAGTTTACTGCACGTCTTATATATAACTGCGCATATTAGATGGGTTACCCCGCTTAGCCTAACTTCCTGTATGGGAATTGCACAACTGGAGAGATAACAGTTGACATTATGAGGGAATGGTTGGAGCCCGGAACGAATAAAGTTGATTCTCCTAAAGTTGAGTCCTACGTCAGTTGTATAGATTATCATGATATAGACCCAAGATTGTACGTGGGAAGATTGTAAACCCAATCCGGGGCACTAAGTTACTCAAGTGTTTTTATTAACTAGGTACTGTACCTTACACCACATATACATGACAGCTCCGAGTCCTAGCTGGCCTCTCCGGGGTAAGACTCCTCCCGTGTTCCTTCAGTCCTTGAAGAAGAGCCGTGCTAAGCCGAGTGGAGCGTTTGCATATGCGGATAAGTAGCTGCAGACTCCTTAAGATATCAAAATCTTGCGAGTTGATCTGCCGACTCTGTTTCGATATGTAATCACGCATATAACCCAGATAGACGATGGTATGAAAGAAGGGTTGCAAAGTTACGCGAAACCTGTGTCGAATCTACCTATGACGAGGAGGCGGGATAGTAAAACATCCCATGACGAAAGCCATCATCAACATCACGGCATGGCGTTTAGCCAAACGTGAGGCGTCGGTCCCCGCTGATAAGGTTGATGGCAGCTCTCTGCACGTTCTCGAAACGTGTAAAGGCGCAGCTTTCGCTCTCAAGGTGGTTCACTGTACAAGTCAGGAGGGGCCACTTGAGGATATCTCATAAATAGGTAGGTAGGTAGGTACGGTGGCGAGGCCTTCTCCTGAGAATACACGCACGAATAAATAGGGTTTGGGGGTAACATGTATGGCGACGTAAGCCGATCGGAGAGCGGGATAAAGCTTGAAATACTACTTACTAACGGCGGCTAGAGATTTAAAATCGCGGCCGCAAGCATTACGGTTCGGGCAGTGGTACAATGCCTGCTGGTCTTTACATGGGCCGGCATATCAGTTATACGAATCCAACCACATGAAGCGGGACCTAGGACTATAACTTACGGGCAGGCGAGTTTAAATGCTGGTTCAAGGCGTGGATATTCACGAAATCGCGGTGGCAGAAGTAACACTCGAAGGCATGGCCGTTCCACGTCTGGTCTGAGGCCTCGTACGTGGAGGAACCGTGCCAGCCGATGAGCTTCTTCGAAAGGATTCCGGTGGGGTCCTTAGCCCGCACTGCCCGGAATATCTCATCGCGGTTTAGGAACGAAGCCTGAGGGCAGTGGCCGCCTTCAAGGTGGTGCGCGAGGCCCGTCGCTGTGGCGTAGTTGGTTTTGCAGAAAGGGCATGCGATCCTACCCTTTCGGTGAATACGGGAATTAAGATGCTGTAGCTCAGATTAATCATATGCTGGCATCTTTAAGTCTCTACATAGCTACAAGAGCATATGCTTTATCTCACCATCTTGATGTTATTGGAGTTTTGGAACTGCCTGTCGCACTCATGGCAGTAGAAATGGTCCTCGGTTTCGTGATCCCGGCGGGTTTCCTCGCTACTCGAGACATTGTAGCAGCAGTGACACTCGAAGTTAAGAGGGCGGTGGTCTAATGCGTCGAGGTGTTGCTCCCGAGCGCGATATTGAGCGAAGGTTCTATTACAGTCCCGGCATTTCCAAGCCATTGTCGTTATCTCATACCAAAGAACAACACAGAATAAGGGAGAGAATTATGAGAGCGAGTTAACTAGACAACAAGCGCAGCGAGCAAGTTGATGGATTGCAAACGGATTAAGCTATGGACTACCGTATGTAGAAACAACATATCCTCTGCCTGTCTAGGGGTTAAAAAGCAGTAGGAGTCCTGCCTTACTACGGAAATTAGGAATGGAATATTAGGAAAGTTGATACGGATATTACGATACGCTGATGAGCTTCGCACATACCATTATTTGGTCTTTGTTCAACAGAGGTAAACAGCTAAGAAAAAAGCAAACGACCGGGAAGACATATGTATAGAGTCTCTATGTATAAGAGGTGAAAGGGATATCCCTACATAGGTACGTATGGCTACGTACATTCTGACATTAACACTGCGTAGCTCATTTAGCGTCAACAGAACAGGCAAATAACTCCATAAAACCCGGCAACTTAAAAAATCTTAGATCCCGCATCTCTAACAGGGTTTCCCTGAGATACCCCTATACTCTAGCCGTAATACGTATTGAAGCTAAGTACTCCTTATCAGCATAGATTTCTTCTAACATGCTTTAGTAGGTACCTAAGGTATACGTATATAAAGTAAGATAACGTTAGGTACTTAAATAGTATACTATCTAAAGGGCCAACACTCCAATACGGTATAAATGAATTCCCAAACAAGACCTACTTACCAAGGTTCGAATCCCAAGCGCGAAATACCAAGGTACCACGTAACACCAAACCACCAAAGATGAGGAGAAAAGCTGCGGGGGAATATGTACCTAAGGTACCCAACAAACCGGTACCGTCATCACACCACATCCTTCCCAACTGGAGAATCCCCTCCGCCATCCCTGCTCCCTGCTCCCTCCTCCAAAAAAAAAATCGACATGTCAAAAAGTCGGATTATTTTGCGAGAAGGAATCGATACCGAGAAAAGCAGACCGGGGTCCCAGGGAAAAAAGGGGGTTGCAATTCGCTCAGAAATTACTACTCGATCGGGGAAAGTCGCGAAATACATAGCGAACTACACTACGACGACAAGGGGCCACAGGCTGATAGCATAGCACGCGAAACCGTCGCATTCAAACCCTCACCAACCTTCCCCGACGCGCATGAGATTTCCATCACCTGACTCGGAAGGATTGGCTACCATTCCGTTGGCACGGCTGGGAGCTTACATATGTAGGTACCTAGCATACGATTAATATCCGTCACACCAGTAAGATGCCTTCGGCACGCGGGGGGCCAAGGCGGATTCACTCTGAGCTGTCAAAGCACGCCAATATAACCATGATCTAAAGGTCTTGGAAACCGCTGAGTGGTATTTCCGGTATTTCCCTAACGCTGAGTAAACCTAACCCAAAAAACAACAACCAATGAATAGCACGTAGAATATGTACAATACATACCACATAGCAGGTTGTCTTACCCTAGCGCCCAAGACTGGACGCCCCGCTATCGAATATTTCATCTCGTCTCTCCTCCCTATCCCACACAATCGTACCGTCACTCTTGCGCTTAAAGTATAGGATCCTGTGCTCCGGTATGAATTCTTCGTGCGTCGTATCCGACTTCCACGAGTCGACTGACCGCTCCATTGCTCCCGAGAAGCGATCTTCGTAGCCGATTATGTAGTCGCTACTGTCCATGGCTTGATCCCACCGAAGCCTATTTAGAACGTCACCTGCAGATCGAAGTTTCCCTTCGTACGTTGGCTTATGCGATAAACGGGTCTCTTTCTTCGCAGGTGGTTCTTTGGCCGAGTCAGCTTCCATAGATGCCCAGAATTCCGAATCGCCTATATCCTCATCTTCGGCTTCGACCGTGTATTTCCCCCAGTCCCGATCGTCCAATCGTAGCTCTCCGAGTTCACTCTGCGGAATTATTGCGGCGTTTATCCAGGATGACTTGGGGTCAAAGTGCTTCGCGTCCCTACTCGCCTGGGCTTCAAAGACACGTATGCAGGTATTCAAACTGGCTTCCACGGAACGCATTTTTGCTATATCGGTCGGTAGACCGGTAGGTTCTTTTAACTCCAAGCCGATAAGATAATGCCCTTCATATTCTTCATCTTCTTCAGAAGCGTCTTGGTTTACGAAGCGTGATGGCCAGATTCTGGGATATATGTCAGGTACTACCTTGCCGATCTCTATATTCGCATTAGTACTATGTTGTGTTCCAGCGGAGAAGGAATAGACATACCGACCAAAAGTGAGGCACATTTCGATTCTAGCCATTCCAAGGTCTTATTTATCCTCGCCAGAGACACACTCCAGAACCGAGCAGTAATCTTGATATATATCATATACACACTTAAAAATTCCGTTATACCTGTATTCTCATCGAGTAACTCGGTCCATACCACCTCGGTTCCTGTTAGTATTGAGTCTGCTCTCTTCAATTCCTTAATGATGGTATGAGCTGTAGAAACTGACGTAGTCTGCGCCGTGTTCAGACGAGGCCCATAGAAGCCTAGGATGGCCATAGGCTCCCGTTCAGTCCTCACATAATTCAATTTTGTATGGAAGAAGGGGTCGAAAACGATGGAATTATTCCAATCAAATCCCGCGTAATGGCGATAAAAGGTCGCTAATATCGTTTGGATACCTGGTGCAGGGCCACATGTGTCTACTAGTAGCTTACACACCCGCGACAGTAGTATCGATATTTGGATACCATTAAGATAGCCAAATCGCGCAGCATAAATACCACGCCGCTCTGCCCAAAATTTTATTACATGATATGATAGCCTGAAAGCCGCAAGGTCTGGAATCGTCCCAAGGAGATGATACAGATCGCGCACTGGCTTTAATGTCGCTAGAGTACTCTGTGGTAACTTGAAAACGGGATCGGTTGGTGGTAGCGTCAGCGCGGCTGGCCACATTTCAGTGATAGCAACAGCTGGACAATATTGTAAGTCCATTTTGATGTGACCAATTGCTAGCCCGAGGATTGTTCCAGAATAAGCATCTACTCGTCGTAATATCTTAATGCCCCTCCACGCAGCTTTACGAAGTCGCTGAATAGCTAATGCGAAGAAAGTTTTTGGGCTAATACGTCCAATGCAAAGACAGTTGATATCTGACGCCGCAGTCCAGACACCCAGTCCATAAGACCCGACAGGCACCAACATAAATGCTGAAAGCCCACGAGCGAGGTTATCATCATCTTGCATTATGACCTCTTTCAGTAAGCACAGCGCGCTTTCTCTCATTGTAATATCAACATCAGAAGGGAACACGGATTGCTCGGAAAGATGGGCGGCAAGCTGAGAGGCGGCCATTTGCCCTTGCTTGATTGTTCGCGGAATAAAGGTGGCGTTGCTACCGTCGGTTGGCCGTACTGATGCATCTTTAGCAATCTTTAGCGAACATTTGATCCCCCAATGGCCACTACCGTACGAAAGCTGGACGTTCGAGTCACCATCCTTAGATTCAACACAAAAGTCAGTCTGCGATGCTCCCATTCCCTGGCCAAACATGTTGAATCCCGTCACAATAAAGTCTTTTCCCTTTACTAAAATCCTGTCGTAACGTTGTGGCCTCTTATCGAAGTAGCTGTGAGTAGTGCTTTCAGCAAGGTGGTTGGCTATTGGATCAAAAGTTGCTCCTTTTTCACCCCCTAAAGCCTTCTTAAAATCCGGTTGCCTTAGATCGTACTCCGACAAATCACCGTATTGAACGCATGCAGAAGCCCAGGTGTCTACCAATCCCATCATAATGAATGCTTTTTCAAATACATTTGAAATATTTCTATGCGAAGAGACTTCATTCTTCTTGGCTGCCGTTTCGATGGTATATACACTGGTCGGAATGTTGAAGTCACCAGCTAATATCCAAGGGTTTCGAGGGTATTCCTCGGAAAAGTAACGGAGGAGAGACCATAATTCCTGTCCCTTCCTCTGCAAAGAAGCATCCGTGAAGCCTGAAGTAAGATGAATGGCAGATAGAATGACCGGTATGAAAACCCCCCCCTCGTATTTCCCAATGTTGGTAAATTTCATGATTACTGAGCTTTTACAGCCCATAGGAAGTGACAGTAAGTCCCAAGTAAAAGCCCGCTTGCTCAACACCACAATATTAAAACGGCTTGGAAGTGGCCCAATATCGGATTGATCAGGGGGGCCGCTAGAAATAAAGGAGTAAATCTCCCGAACCCTCTTATCTCTACAGAGATATGAAAGGAAGTCGTCTGTGACTTCTTCTAGTACCAGAACGTCCGCCAGAGCTCGCGCATCTAGTAGATTTTGGATTATGATAGGGTATCGAGCTCGAGTTGGGGGATATTGAAATTCCGCGTGGACGTTATAATTTGCAACAACTAGAGATTCCGGATTTGAGGATACCTGCTCAGTAGTAGGGTATCTCTGTTGCTGAATCCATTTAAACTCAGTATGAGAAAACATATACGGGAGGCGCGTTAGCGGACGGCATTCTAATAGAGTACTTTGTTCGTTACTCTCAGAAGTAGCTGTCGTCTCGTCTTCATAGAAGCTAACAGGATTTTGCATTGTTAATAAGGCGTAAGCTTTTAGATTGATTTCTCCCCATATCTTCATTTGGCTAGGGACGCTGGGATCGATCCGATTCTCGTCTCTGTCTCGTACGAGGATATAAATCTTTTCGGCCTTCCACTCAAGGGTAGGGAAAGGGTCGAGTACTGGTGCTGCGAATTTATGTAGCGGGGATGTTAAATCTTCCGTTTGTCCAATGGTCATACGTAATTGATCATCGTTGTTATGATTTCGCTTTAGCGATGACAACAGAAGGCCCTTTATAGCTGTAAAGAGCGGTGGAGATTTGCTGTATAAGAAATACGTTGTTTTCTTCTTCTTGGTGTCCTTGGTGTCCTTGGTGTCCTTGGTGTCCTTGGTGTCCTTGGTGGAGGTACCTGTACCATCTAACTGTATATCTGGCGGAGAAGGATGATCTAGGTATAGCTGTACCAGTAGGGAGATGATTAATGCCGAAGCGTGAACCAGGTTGTTTACCGGAACAAATGGGTATACAAGCTTGATATGCGGTGGCCATGTTCTGTATGCTGGATCGTGGATCATCCTGAAACGGTCCAGCTCTGGCCATAAATGTTTCGGCGGAATAATACACAGCGCTGTGTCATAGCTGCTGCCCATATCGGCTAACGTGCTTGTTGAAGTAGCTGGAGTAGCCATAGCTAGTATAACTTTTCAGTAAAGCTTTGGCTAGGAGGTGTTTAAGTTGATAGAAGTAATGAAATAATAAACACGCTTGGCTTATTTACTTCTCCTTTAAGGGCAAAAAAGAAGAATAATGATTGCCAAAGTGAATGAAATGGAGTATATTAGGATTATATATTCAAAAAATGAAAACTATCGACCTCGATGTTCAAGAAGATAGGTGTGGTATTAGGTGAAGTGGTGAGGTTTTATGGTAGCATAGGATTAGGTACAATACCTCTTCTAGCTACTTATAGGCTATTGCTGTGCTGTGGCAGAGCCGCGCCACTTTCCTTCGCCATTTCCCCATTATGAGTAACACCTGAAATCCAATTATTCTTCGGCGTGAGTCAACTCTATGCGGGTATCTACCTGTTATGGAAGTTACCTAGACTTTACATTAGGTACTTAAAGGTACAACAATTTAGGTACCTTAAATGTACTTGGAATAGCACGCTAATAGCGTCCCGACCCGCTGGGAATTAGTTAGGTGAAGAAATGATATACTTATACTTTTTAATACCTTAATACAAAGATTCGTGATATATTATCATTATAATAATATATATTAAAATAAGTCTTATAATATTAATTAATTAATTAAGTAAAAGAAAAAAAATTTATTTAAAAAATTATTTATAATTTTATATATATTTTTTATTTATAAATTTATAAGTTTTTACAAGTAATAATTCGTATTTAATAATAATAAATTTATATTATTTTTTTTTTATTAAATAATTATTTTTAATTATTACAATATTTTATATTAATTTAATTGTTTTTATAAATGTTATTTATTTTAATTTAATAATTTTTTATTAATATATTATATATTATAAATTAAATATCCGTTTTAAATATAAATAAAAAATAAATTAATATTATTATATTTATTTTATAATTATATTTTTTTAAAATTTTATATTTTATAAATATTATTAATATAATAATTAACAATAATTTAAAGGTTATTATAATATGGTTTATATTTAATTGTTTTTTATTTTACGCGTAATACTTAATTTTTAAATATATAAGTTTTAATTAAACCTTTTTTTTTTTATAAATAAACATATATTTAATTTTTTATAAATTTAACGTTATTAAAATTACCACAGGTTAATAATACCTTATATTATATAATTAATTATTTTATAAATAACATTTTTTTTTTTTATCGTTTTATAAATATATTTATTATATTCGATTAATTATTATTTTTATAAAAATTATATATTAAACATTAAATAAAAATTATTATATTCTTTTTATTTAAAAATATAATTATAAATTATTAACGTTTTTTTTAATAATTTAAAAAAATTTATTTAAAAATTTATTTAATATTTACGTAATATAATTTTTTTAATGTTTTCATTAGTTTTTTTTACTTTATTATTTCCTTTTAATTATAATAACGTAAAATATTTAATTATTAAACCGTATTTTTAAACTTATTTATTTACGTTTACGTTTATAAACAATTTTTTATTATTATTAATCCATTTTTTTAAGTAATTATATATGTTATTTATATATAAAAATAATTATAAATATTTATTAAATAATATAATATATACGAGATAAGTTTTAACTTATTTTATGGTATATTTTATAATTATTAATAAAATATATATATTAATTAATATATAATTAATCGTTTATTAAGTTAATAATATTAATAATTAAATTAATTAAAAATTAAATAATAAAGAATTTAATTTTTTTATTAATTAACAATTAAAATATTTAATTATAACTTATTATACCGTTAATATTATTTTTAAATGTTAATATTATTTTAACGTTTTTTTAAATATTATTTTAATAATTATATAACTTTAATTATGGTAAATATTACATATTTAAATAATTAAATTATTATATTTTAATATTTTTTAAAAAGTTATAATTTTATATATTATTTTTATTACGTAAGGTGGGTTTTTAATAATTTTATTATATTTAATAATTTTATAAAGGTTTTTTTTATATATAATAAAATAATCTTTTATTTATTTTTCTTTAATAATAATTAAGAATATAATTTTAAATTATAAATATTTATATATTATTT